GGATTCTGCACCTGAGATGGGTGCAGGGGCTGCGGAGGACCTGGTTGCGAGTGATGGTGAGGGTGGGGAGGACCTGGAGGCAGCTGGTGAGGGTGCTGAGGAGATTGTAGATGGAGCTGCTGGTGTTGGGGTTGAGGAGGCAATGGACTCTGCATCATGGGTTGAGGTTGGGCCATGAGTTGCTGCTGCACCAACGGCTGAGGGGGAAGCATCTGTTGCGCAAGAGGAGGTTTGGTGATTGAGCCTTTGTCCTCCCAGGTACCAATGTTCATGTTATGCTTTATCGGCGGAGGGGGGATCGTTGGGCCGTTTCCCAAACCCATGTTGAGCTTTGGCTTCAGCTTGGGCTGTGGTTTCGCGGGTTTTCTCGCGATGGCCGCCCAAGACGTGGGTTTTGGTGCGGAGGAGCTGACAGGCGGCATGCTGTTGGCAGCCATGCTACTCATACCCGGTGTCCCTCCTAAAGGAGACCCGACCGTTTTCGTTACGGCCGACATGTCGGAGCCAAGCTTGAGCCCGGCCATTCCCTGATCGATACTACTGAGCCCTGGAACTTTACTAAGTTGCGTGTCACTACCAAATCCAGCCTGTCCATCAGCAATGGCCCGGCCCAAAGAGCTCGGGGGATATCCGTAACTGCTGCTGTATGCTGAGCTCTGTGTAGACTGTCCCTGAGAACCACTGGTGCCCCAGGTGGAAAAGTCTGCATTTCCAGGAAAGAAGTTAAATCCGTGTTGGCTGAGAAAAGGGGGCGTGTTCCCTAAAGCACCAGGCTGGCTGAAGACTCCGTCGGGAATGAAGTGATGCTCGCCATTGCTCATCTGTCCATATGTGGTCAGGTACGGCATAGGCGGGTCTCCTGCGGTGGACCATGCAGCCTCTCCCAAAGAGTAAGGGAATCCAATTGAGGGAGCATAATAGCTGGGCATGTAGGGATCAGACATTTGTGGGTAGCTATTACTCTGTAGGGTGTAATTAAAGATAAGTCAGTAATGACTAAGTAATGAACAAATGGCTAAATAAAGATGTGACAAAATCATAATAGATGAAAAAAGTGTGAAACTACTAATCAAAAGTTGTTCAAAGTAACAAAATTGTATTCTCCAAGGACACAAATAGTTTGAAAGTGGTAGTAAATAGTCTACATTTGTATTATATTTCAAATAAATGCTTTATTCTTCAAAGAATCCTGATAAAATAAATGCATCACAGGTTCCACCAAAAAAATGTAGAAGTACAACTGATTTCAATATAGATAATAATAAGAAATGTTGCTTGAGCACCCAATCAAAATGTTAGAATGATTTCTAAAGGATCATGTGATACTGAAGACTGGAGTAATGATCACTTTTTAAAAAAAAATTCTCCCCACCCCCAAACTTTTGAACTGTAATATATAAAACAAATTATATGTATCAACAAAAAAAATAAATATGAAAGCGGTCAGGGATTTGTTAGATTTTTCAGAAATTTGTACAAATATAAACTATAGTTTAATGTAATACAACACTGAAATGGAAGGGGGAAATGACAGTAATACTATTTTTAGAGTGCATTACTTACAATTAATATGACAGCATAATCAAAGAAACTCACCTGATTTGTCTGGCTGCTCAGATAATTGTCAAAGTCATCATCATTAACAGCATCCTTCTGATGCATTGAACCGTTTTGCACTAAACAAAATGATATCAAAAAAAGACAGCGTCAGTAAATTTGACTTCAATACACCATGACGTTAATATGAAATAATGAGACAGCAATTGTATAGAAGTAAATTAAATTTTGAAACTATTATCTATAATCTCGAAATATTAAACAGTAAATTGCTTTCTTGTAAGGATTACAAAATCAAAAAGAGAGCTATAGATTAACATTAAGACCGGTCTACTACATAAAATATGATTCACAGAAGGAGTGAAGTGACTATTTATAAATCCACACAAGCAAGACAGTGAGAAACACATCAGTAAAGTAAACTCACTTAAAGGAACAGTTCACCCTCCACATGATCATATGACTTTCTTTGGCTGATTAACATTCACAATCATTTTCATTGCAAGGAAAATGATGTAACGAAAGTGAATGGTGACTGTATTAAGTTCCATAGAAAAAAGAAACAAAGGTCCCTTCAAATGTGGACATTCCTGTTGAAAACGAGTCTTTGCATCACGTACCTTTGTTTCCTTGTCCTTTAGGTCTCTGATTTTGGGTTCAAGGTGTGCGGACAGTGACAAAAAGAGAAAAAACACCATGAACACCAGTTTATCGGAAACAGAACATGTACACAATAATTTGGCCTAGCAGGAACAGCTATCAAATATCAAGGACTCTCAGTTTGTGGAGAAGCGACTTGACAATGATTGATGTCTTTTCCCCCCTTTTCTTTTTACCGAATGAAGTAACTTACCTTCCTGTGCGTTCATGTGTTTTAGAGCGTTCATTCGTTCAAAGCGCGCCAATGAGACCCAAAATAAATTGCTTTCTAGGTAGGCAGCTCGCTATGGTTTGAGACACAGCCACTACCTGAGCAACACCATCATGTATAGTTCTATAGTATAGATGGAAGCGCATCCGTCTCGCGTACCTGATCGACAGTTGTCGCAGACATCCTCCGGGAGCCCGAACTGATCGCTGTTATGACTGTCCACGGTCTCTCCTGCCACCGCTGCGGGTTCGCGATATCTTTCCTCTCTCCGGGTTGCCCTGTAATCACAGCGTATTCCTCAGGCGTTGATCTCCTCGCCCGGTCTCAAACGGTCGGCAGCGGTCCTCTCGAGCGGTAGTGACGGCAAATGTCAAACGGTTGGGGGAGCTTGGCGGCTGTGTGGAGTGTTTTAGTTATTCTGAAACATTCACACACTGTGTTAACGTCTGGAGAGAATATTACCCCTGCTCTGCTCCACAATGGCGGATGGGCTCTGACTCTCACTTCCGTTTGAGCGCTGACCTTCCGCCGCTGACGTCAAAGAGGAGACATGCGCCTGCTTTTCACAGTACAAAATATTACCTGAATATTACTACAAATTGAGACTACAGAGGGTGACATTATATTAAAGATTAGCCTTTGTTTTTAATTTTAAAGGCATAAGTTTACCTAACATAAATAGAAATCCTAAAAACGATATTTTGATTGGCGGAAAAAGCAAGCTTTTAAATGTGTTAATATTAGTAAATAAATAAATAAATAATAATAATATTTTTTTATAACATTTTGTAACTTTTTTATCGTTTTATTTATTTCAATGACCATGGGACATAACAATTTAAAAAAAATGCATATTTTTAATTATTAATATTTTGCAGAAATTCCAAATGGCCTACATCAAAAACATTTTATTAATTTTATATGTGACTTCATTTATCACTATATATGACAATATGATGTTTTGTACAACTGTTAAAGCAAAAATAAAACACTTAGAGTAAGAAATAACCATATATAAATAACCACTTAGAGTAAGAAATAACCAATAACCTTTTTTTAATTGTAATTTAACCAGTTATACTTTACAGTTTATGGTTATACTCTGTAAATGTTGTTCATTATTTTAATCATTACAAACATTTTACACAACAATAAAGAAAGCATTTCTATACATATTAATCTAGGGTGTAACCAAACAGAGGTGGGTGAGACTGAGAAATAAAAATATCCCTCTGAAAAGACAAATTCTGCTATAACCATAGCGCTATAACTGTTCTTTACCGCTTGGTGACACTATTCTATTTCAAGAAAATAACATGACCGTAAATGACGAGCTATACAAGTTTTCAAAATAAAAGTCCTGTTACTGCTTATAACTTAGACCAATTAGAAATATAAGCCTAGTAATCTCTATCTATCTATCTATCTATCTATCTATCTATCTATCTATCTATCTATCTATCTATCTATCTATCTATCTATCTATCTATCTATCTATCTATCTATCTATCTATCTATCTATCTATCTATCTATCTATCTATCTATCTATCTATCTATCTATCTATCTGTCTATCTATCTATCTGTCTATCTGTCTGTCTGTCTGTCTGTCTGTCTGTCTGTCTGTCTGTCTGTCTGTCTGTCTATCTATATCTATCCATCCATCCATCATATCTATCTATCATTATTTGATTATTCTTTGATTTTGAGCTAACATACAAATGAGCCTTCAAATGAATACAATACAATACATGAATACAATACAAATGAATATGACTTAATACCGTTATATAAAATTAATATGTATTGTTTACATTTTTATCAATTATTGTTCAACTTTATTGTTGCTGTTGCTGTGCAAAGTTAAGTTGAACTTTAATTCTTGAAACAGGGTGTAGTCAAATCCTCAGCCACACTGAGCTAATAGTGTGTGTGTTTCTGGCTTCAGCTCACTGTGTGGTGTTGATCCTCCAGAAACACTCCTACTCACTCAGCCTGGGGTTTGGAGCATGCAGAACATGCTAACAGTAATTGCAAACGTATTCAAGGGCGGTGCCAAAATAAATGTAGGTATCATAAGTCTCTGTTTGCGTATCTGTTTGCTGTTAAAGAGACAGAGACATTGAAAGATTCAAGCTCTGTTTAGCTTAGGGGCATTAAAAGATTTGCAAGAGGCTAAACTAGATCTCAGTAGTCTCATCGACCTTGTAGATGGTCTTCAGTAAATACAAATTCATCCTTACTGTAAATTAAATGGACACTGAACTGATTGTATTTTATTAAAATGGAGAGTCTGCCCTGGTTTGCTCCCTCTATTGTTTGTTATCTTATCATAACAGTTTGTTTTAGTCATTCAGAGCCTGTGGTACAGTCCAACTGTAATATAATTAAATGAGAATTGATGTTTTTTCTGACATGGACATCATTACAAACCATATTGTGGTCTTTTTCCTGATATATAGTCTTTTTGACAAATTATATTATTTTTTTTATAACATTGTTATTTCAGTAATGTACAAATTACATTGCAGCTAGCCCCATTAATGGTTTCTATCTTTTTGGTTGTTTTATAGGGTGCCCAGACAGTGTCCGAGGTAAGATTTGGACTCTTGATTGACTTAACTTGTCCATCCAGCAACACCAGCTCAACCAACCTATATTAGTGCCACAGGAATACATTATCAATGATAGAAAAGGCGTATTTGTCTTCATTTGGATTATATTTAATCATTCATGCCAGATCTAAAATGTTCATTTCAAAGACTATACGCATTATGGAATGTCTGTGTTATTATATTGTTGACCAGCTGTAACACTACTGTTAAAAATTTTGGGTTCAATTAGGTTCTGCAATATTATTTATGTTTTTGAAAGAGGTCTCTTATTCTCACCAAGGCTGCATTTATTTAATCAACTAAAACTAGTGGGCTAACATTGTCAAATATTATTACAATTTAAAATAACTGTAAAGCAGAATTTTCAGCGTCAGGCCTCAGTGTCACATGATACTTTCTATTATTTTTCTATTATTAATATATAATATATATTATTTTTAGGAATCTTTGATGAAAAAAAAGCACTGAAAGAACAGCATTTATTGGATTTTCTTTTTAACAATGTAAAATTCTTTACTGACACTTTTGATCAATTTAATGCATCCTTGAATGAAAATATTAAAAATATTAATTTCTTTGAAAAAAAAAAAAACCTATTACTGACCTCAAACTTTTGAACAGTAGTGTGTTTATTTATTTTAGGTAGGCCTACATTAGTGTTTCACAGTATTGAATGGCGTTCAATATCTCACATGATGAAATGCATTTTTTCAGTATCTCTGTTTTAAAATGCTTTATAGTTTTATTACTGCTCTGCACTCCACTCTTCTCCAGGGCTCCAGCGTGGTGGTATCAGCACGTTCTTTTGCAGACTTCACACCTCAGGCCAGCTTTGACATCAAGGTAAAGTTCTCATATTAACTTAAAGCATACACAGAAAACTTTTTTCATTTAAGAAAAATGTAGAACATGGTTAAATTTTAGAGGTGTGACCTCCATCGCTTGGACGAAGGCCCTTCGGTGCAGACGGTGCTCACCAGAGAGGATGGACTCAGGTACTACCGCACTATGCAGACCATGAGACGCATGGAGCTGAAGGCGGATCAGCTCTACAAGGAAAAGATCATACGAGGCTTCTGTCACCTGTATGATGGCCAGGTAATTCAAAACTGAATACCTTGTAGTCTATAACAGCTGTTTACACACATAACAGTCAATGTCAAACGATTTGTCTTCTCGTTACCTCTCAGGAAGCATGTGCTGTTGGCATTGAGGCTGGTATCAGTCCCATGGATCATGTGATCACGGCATATAGGGCTCATGGTTACACCTACACCAGAGGTGTGCCTGTGAAAGAGATCATGGCAGAGCTCACAGGTGGGAACATCCTCCATAAAACAGCATTAAAGGAATAGTTCACCCAAAAATGTTAATTATGTCATCACTTACTTACACTCGAGTTGTTCCAAACCTGTATGAGTTTCTTTCTTCTATTGAACACAAAAGAAGATGTTTTAAAGAATGTTGGCTCCATATTATTTTTATTTTACAATGGATCTCATTGGCTACCTTCAACTGTCTAATTACCAACATTCTTCAAAATATCTTATTTTTAGTTCAACATAAGAAAAAAGTGTTAATTTTTGGATAAACTATCCCTTTTATAAATAGAAATCCTGTAGGGCTGAGTAAAATTCAGTTTTTCAAATTTAATGCATTCTGCACATGTACTGTATATATACATTAAAGATTATCATATTATAATAATTAAAGATTTTCATAATTTAAAGAGACTTTCTTACATAAGTAAAATGGACTGAAACTGGAAAATACCCAAATCAAATCCAATTAGGAGCTTGTGAATTGGAATCAAACCAAGAAATGTGTAATAACCAGCCCGAATCTGAACATGTTCACAATCTATTTCAGGCCGAAGGGGTGGTGTTGCCAAAGGGAAGGGTGGCTCTATGCACATGTATGCCAAGAATTTCTATGGCGGGAATGGTATTGTTGGCGCCCAGGTGAGATGCACGCATCATATCTTACTACAACATTACATCAATCGTTTCTTAATCTAAATCTCACTTTGGAAGGTTCCTCTTGGGGCCGGTGTGGCCTTGGCATGCCAGTATCAGGGTAAAAACCAGGTTTGTGTTACTCTGTATGGGGACGGCGCTGCTAACCAGGTGAGAGCTATTTCCTCCATGCATGCGCTCACAGGTTTGTGTACTGTCTGCTGTTGCAAAATAACGCTTTATCTGATTTGTCCCCTTATCAGGGCCAGATCTTTGAGTCATTTAACATGGCAGCTTTGTGGAAACTCCCCTGCATTTTCATCTGTGAGAATAACAAATATGGCATGGGGACATCAGTGGAACGGGCCTCCGCCAGTACAGACTATTACAAGAGAGGAGACTACATTCCTGGCCTGAGGGTGACTGTCTTTCTAGATGCCTCACAATGTTATTATATTCACCAGTGCATGCAACATTTTACAGATGTACAGAAAGGCACATGAGAGCAAATAAGCCTTTTTCTTTGTTTTCTCCAGGTGGATGGTATGGATGTTCTAGGTGTGCGAGAGGCAACCAGGTTTGCAGCTGATTTTTGCAGATCTGGAAAGGTAACAGAAAAGAAAAAATGACATATTTTACTAACTTAAAGGAGTAATTCACTTTAAAAGGAATTTAGTCACCCTCAAGTCTTCCTAGGTGTATATGACTATATGTTCATTTGGCCGGAAGCTAGTTATTTTACTTTATAAAGTTTTAAATATGAATATTTTTCTTACACAAACTCATGGCTTGTCTTCAGAAGGCCTTTATTTAGAGAGTTCTTTTATGATGGATGGATGCACTTTTTTGAGCTTCATACTGATGGTTGCAATTCACTGCCATTATGAAGCTCAAACGCACCAGGGTGTTTATTAATACAACTCTGATTGTATTTGTCTGAAAGAAGAAAGTCATATACACTTAGGATACTTTGAGGGTGAGTAAATCATGGGCTAATTTTCATTTTTGGGTGAACTATCCCTTTAACAAGTCAAGGAGGGCTTATGGATTTAAGCAAGGCCTAGTTTGTTACTGGTGGGCAAATGTTTGGCCTGTGCTCTCTATAGGGTCCCATACTAATGGAGCTTCAGACATATCGTTACCATGGCCACAGCATGAGCGATCCTGGGGTCAGGTGATGTTGACCTTCAACCTTTCCCTCTGTGGCAGGCGCTTATTCTTCCTCGTCATGTCCTCATCCTCTAACCTCCATAACCACATAGCTAGTTTGCAAATCACGTCAGTGAGCTCACTATTCGCTGTACCTTCAATCAGTGCTTTTCTCCCCTTAGTTATCGCACACGTGAAGAGATCCAGGAAGTTCGCAGTAAGAGTGACCCCATCTCTATGCTGAAGGACCGCATGATTAGTAGCAACATGACTAGGGTGGAGGAGATCAAGGTACTTCATTTTTACATGATTCATTTTTTTTGTCTGTCTATTGCACTCTTTATTTGATCAAGAGATGAGCAGACCTTAATCCTTAGATATATTTTTTTATTTAAATTTAAATTGTAATCTAATGGTGCCAAACTTTGTGACTTTTGTGACATTTGCACAAAAAAGAACACCTCTAATTATGTACAGTCAAAAAAGGAACTTTATAGGAAATTAATTGGAAAGATGAAAAATGAGAAAATACAGAACAATTGTATGGGGTCTCTGATAATGTCTAGAAATATCCAAATTGAAAATACTCTTATAAGAGTTTGGGGAATAAACCGCATTATGATTTTCTTTATTTCTTCAATTATATAGCACCAATCTGACATATTTACTCAAACTGTAATAATTGAAAATAATATGAAATTATATATATTTTTACTAATATTTGATTTTACATAGAAATAAATGGTGCATAATTTAGATGTGAATATTTTTTGTACCATTAAATCCTCTCAAAATATAAAATATTAAAGAAAAAATATTATTGAAACAAAAAATATAGGACATTAATTTCATTAAAAAACTGATTCACTTATTGTGTGCATCTCAATCAGCGCCCTAGTTCACTATAGTCAGCACATATGAGTAAAAAATAAAGATGTCATTTCTGCAGTTGTTCATAAATAATAACAGTAGTGATTTTGTACAAAGAGGACATTGCCATGTCGCTGGAAATAGAGTCACCGGTGTCCTAATGTGTAGTGAGCCAGGGTCCTTACTGTCCTTTCCTTACCAGTGCCATTTATTCATACTGATGGTAATTGAGATACAGCCATTGTCTTCACTACTTTTTAACTGCCGAGGATCACAAGGGTGAGGAATACCTCACCCTATCACCATATTATGTTGTAATCACAACAGGACATTGATGCAGAGATTCGTAAGGAGATAGAAGAAGCAGCTCAGTTTGCTACCTCTGATCCAGAGCCCCCGCTGGAGGATTTGTGCAACCACATCTACTACAATGATGCACCCTTAGAGGTCAGAGGCACCAACCCCTGGACGAGGCTGAAATCCATGAGCTAAAGAACCTGCTGACGATTCAGCACTTCAGGAGCTCTGTTCCTAAACCTATACGCACAAAAAGATGGATGAAACTTGTGTTATCCATATATTCATAGATACATTCCAAAACAGCTGTTACTTAGCAATTAGTTTTGCAGACTGTTCATTTATTTATATATTTAATTTAACTAAGAATGGAATTAATAAATATGTAATAACTTGACATATATTTGCGTCAGTATTTGAGTCATTTGAGTCAAGTGATCATAATAGACTCACCCAGCAGGTGTCGCACTCTCCAGTTCCGTGAATAAAGTGTCATATTACTGGCAAGGTACAGTAGATGCCAATTCATTGGAGGCACATTCTTACGTACATTACAGAGTCATATGATGCCATCAAAAGATCATGATGGCCGTTTGACGAATCTCACTGACGAGCAACACTTATTTAAATAATTGTGGAAGAATTGTGTCCACAGTGGATTTCTATATAAGAGATATTGTCCATTAGAATAAATATTAGAAATAACTATTAAACTGATGATAAACTTATTTTAATTTGGGCTTTCTTGTAGAGAAGAAATAAAGCATTTTGGGTCCATAATTCTGAAGTCTGAATAGGTAATTATCATATTTACAGATCATATTTCTGAGTGACCGTGCTAATTTACTTCCTTCCATACAGTAAAAGTATGATATGAAATAAATGTAAGTATTATATAATACGTGTTTAGTCGGATCACAGGTTAGAACATCAATGCACTGCACTCTCACCTGTCCGTCTGCGATGAGCTGCGTAGATTTAGCCCCTCCCCTCTATCATTGATTGACACGCATATCAGCCAATCAAATGCGTTATACTAGAAGAAGCGGAAGTGAATATCACACGCGTAAACGTATTTTTTTTCTGTCAAACAGGAGAGCGAGCGAGAGAGAGAGAGAAGAGGGCGACTGGCGCGAGATCAGGGCACGGTCATCATTCTATTTCTATGGAAACGCTGCACTGACTGACAGAAGTGAGTGGAGGAAAAGGTGGCGGCGCTTTTGGATACGTTACGCAAGTAACGGATTCCTAGCTTTCTATATCAGTGTCAAGAGCGTGGAAACAAACTGGCATAATCTCTTCAAAGTAGCTCAGTATTGTTGTTTTGGAATCTGATTCATAAAACAAGGGTACCTCCAAAAAGTGAAGATGCCCCTGGCACAACTAGTTGACCCTTGGCGAAAGATGGCAATCGGCAGTGCGGCGAGTGAGGTGAGTCTCCTACGCGTAATGTTTATATCACTGACATGTTAGTTATGAAAGCATTACTTCTGTTTTTTTGTTTTGTTTTTGTTTTTTTGAGGCCGTTTCTCTGTACCGTTGTTGTACAACCTGTTCCAGATCTTTATCCGATGTTGGAGGATTAGCGGTTATAGAGTATGACCCGTGTAATGTGTGTGCGCGTGCGAAATGCTTTTTAAACGATCCGTTTGCCAAAGGCCCTTTGCATTTTTTTCCCCTTTTTTGACTTGTAGTTATTTTGTAAATAGCATATGAGTTCATCTTAGCCACTGTGTTTTGTTAATAGAGAGTTAAGTTTTATGAATGAGACGACGTAATGTTCATGAATCCAAGTCTGATTCATGCCGGTGCAGTGATGATGAATGATGATAAATCGGTTCATCTGTGGGAATCTTTGCCTTATCACTGTGTGTATATATTTATAAGATCACTTTTGAAATGTAAGTTAATAGGTTACAGACTACAAGTTCCCCTATTTCAAATGTTATACTGTAAGTAGTATAGCCTACCTATTTCAATTACTAATATTAAATTACTAAATTATTATTATTAAATTGTAATATCAGTTACTAAATACTAGTAATGTAACTGATTATATTTGATTACTTTTCTAAATTTCTATCTCTATTATTTTCAAACATTTAAACCAGGCAGGGTTAACCTTACAGTAATAGCCTGCTCAACACAGATTACTTTGAGATCGTTCTTGGGTTAAGTAACGTTACAGGTTTAAAATCATAACAAGAAATATTTTAATCGCTATGAGGCTGTTTTTGAACAGTATAGCGATAACAGGAAAAACTGACATCAAACAATACCTTAAAGGAAAAAAAAAGTTAATCTTAAAAAATAAAGCATTTACATGAACCCAAATATGATATAAAACAGTTACAGAATAAACATAGTAAGTAAAAGTAAGTAAGTAAAAGTTTATTTATATAGCACCTTTCACAGATATAGGGCCACAAAGTGCTTCAAAACAAAAACAATTAATGTAATAAAATACACACAATAAAATCATAGACAGTACTGCATTTTTAAGTACAATCAACTTAAATATTTAAGTCATTTCAACTTAAATCACATTAAACTGACTTGAAAAAAATGAGTTGAATCTTGTATAACAAATAAAAGGTTACTTAAAGCCATGTAACAATATAAGTTGTTGTCATAACGTATTTACCTTTCTTTTTTTACCGTAAGTGTCTAAACCCATTCCTAGATAGGCCTAGAATAGAATAGAATAGAATAGAACGAGATCTATCATAACAAATTTTAAATCTGATGAATTTTAGACAGAATTTGTGTGGATAAAGATACATTGGAATGATTCCAAAGGTTACTTTACCCATAACAATGTTTAAGCGTCTACTGTAGTCACAAACCTACATCGCTTTTCTCATTTCCTGAGAATTCAATTCCCCTGACTGTTTTTTATGATGATTTGCAAAAGATAAGGGTTTGCATGAATTCATGCATGCAAATTACTGCAGAAAAAAAAACTCAATCCAGCCTGCTCTGTCATCTACTCTGGAATGACACAACAATTTCAGAAATTACAACAACGACCCCATTAATCCACATGTAATAAAGTCAGCCGTAAAGCTGCCGTGATGGTATTGTAGAAGAGAATGAGAAAAGAGTGGCAGGTAACACACTGTTCCCTTCCAGCCAGCAAATGATCACGAGCCTCAGTTCCCTCAGTTTCACTCCCGCGGTGACAGATCGGCCCGTCTGAGGCGCCACCCTGACTAATTAACCCCTAAACAGTCAATGACAGCATGTAGTCTAACGAGACGTTCCTCCACTATCATTTGGTGCAGAGGAACAGACGTTCATATTGGCACCAGTGTGTGTCTGCTGTAGTAATCAAGGCTTTGTATCGCTCTTAGAAACTGATCCACACTGCGATTGTTCAATGTAGTACAGACTGCCCACAATCAGTGTCTGATGATTCATATTTCACAAAAAGAAAAGCACTTGTGAAATTCAGATATCTGACAGCAGCACAACATCCGGGAGTGTTGGGGAACAAAATAATTTTCAGGTACCTGGATGATGATGTGGCTATTTGATAAAGTTCTGGTCAGTGATTAATGGCGCATTTTTAATTGACTGATATTAAATATTTTTCAATTTATCAGTAACGGTTGATATTGGATATTTAATTTTTTTTTTAATACTCATTTAAACTATTTTTATATTTCGATCAGTATTGCGGTGAAGCCCATTTCAATCATGCTTTTAACATAGAAGTTGAAATTATGAGAAACAAATTATGACAAAATTTCAGAATCATGAGATAAAACATTGACATAAAATATGACGTTAAAAAGTGACATGTATGATAATTAGGATTTTTTTATTATAATTTAGACTTTGTGATCATTTAAACTTTTTATGTCATAATTTTGACTTTTAATTTAATAATTATTATCATTTAGTATTTGATTTATTATGATTTACCAAATCATGATTTAGTTTTTATGTTGCGGAAATAGGCTTTCATAGTCATCTAACGCTGATATGATATGATATGATATAATAATTTAATAACACTGTTATGTAACATACTAAACATTATAATATTTTTGATGCCTAAGTCCACTTTTAAATTCAGCATTTAAAAAGACTGATTTTATTGTTTTATTTGTAAATAAATAATAATTAGTATAACATTTTAATATTGCCTGTTTATTGGGTGGTGACCATAACATGAAAATAGTTATAAAAAAATATCAAATTATATTATAGGGATTAAACTGTGTAAAAATGTATATTTTATATATATATATATATATATATATATATATATATATATATATGGCTGTCAAACGATTAATCGTGATTAATCGCATCCAAAATAAAAGTTTTTGTTTACATAATATATGTGGGTGCACTGTGTATACATGCATATATATATATATATACACACACACACACACACACACACATGCTTGTATATATTTTAGAAATATTTTCATGTATATACTGTATATAGATTTATATATAATTTATGTTATTTATAAATATTTTATGTATAAATAATATTTTTTTCTTAAATATACATGCATGTGTGTGTGTATTTATATATATATATACAAATAATTATACACAGTGCACCCACATTTATTATGTAAACACAAACTTTTATTTTGGATGCGATTATTCGCGATTAATCGTTTGACAGCCCTACTATATATATCTGAGGCACACAAACTATATATTCTGTTTTGAGTTATGAAATGAAATAATCAGAGCTTATTACTTTTAGACAAACTGAAAATCTGACCTAAAGTTTATGAAGATTGTTTATGGTATTATCTGGCACATAAAAATCCAGAACTTTGGTTGTTTTGTGCTGGTCAGGTGGTCTTTTCCTGTCTATGTCGGCAGTTCTTAGCCAGAATAAGCAGCAATGTGGATGTGGACCAAGCATTATGCTGTTAGTGAAAGCTCTGACTATGTTCGGTGCAGTTCAGACCTTTAACACATACATATTTTATTTTCTTGCTCGCAATGGTTCGTGAGACACTGATTTACCATATTCACATTTCTCTCACACGACAGACGGAGCCCCATCATGTCTTGGAAGACTCGACAGGAGAAGATGAAAATCTATCATGTCAAGTGAGTGTCATGCTTCCCCCTGCCTCTACACTCTTCTTATATCTATTTCTCTTTTTGCTCTTCTAAAGCTGTCTATCCCTCAAAGTCTTTCTACCTTTTTTTAATCCGTGTCCTTCTCACACCCTCGTGACATGTCCCCTCATGGGCTTTGATCTTCTTATTTTTTAGCTGTTCAGTGTTTTGTAGCACTTGACATTTCTCAAGGAGCCTCTTTTCAAGGATGCAGCATAGATAAGTGGCTCTTCTAAGGTGGACTGAAATGTCCCTCCATGTACATGTGCATCTGTAAGGGGAGCTGGTGCTAAATTACAGCCATTGATCATGTGTTCCCCGTAGAAGGCAATTGTATCGATTAGTCCTTTGATTGCCGTATGATGGGCACAGTTTTACAGTCAAATAGAGTGACACTGTACTGTACTATACTCATTGTGTTGGGCTCAGAATTCCTGTGTCCCCGCTGAAAAGATACCAACCTAGACAACAAAGTACTCATTGTTTTTGTTTGTGGGAGCGTTTCTGTTCAAGCCGGAATGGTTGTTCTAGTTCAGGAAGGATTCTTCCTACACTCAGAGGCCATTAATGAGTTTCCATAACACGCATGTAACGAGTCCATTATGACATCATGCAGTCTGACCTCATACAGGAAACGACGAAGACTTTTTAGGTCTCCTCTCCCACTAAAACACTCCTCCGTCTTCCTCGCTTGCTTGTGCTGAGAATCATTGATTTTTTAAATGCAGGGCAGATGGACCTATGGATTTTGTTTGCTAAGAAAGCTGGTCCATCAAAAACATTCTCTAGAGTATTTGCTTTTCCCCCTGAACGTCCCCACACATAAGCACGCACTTAAACCAATAGTGTCTGAAAGCAGCTCCTTTGCAAATGTTGTGATAGACGTAGGTTAAATGCTTTGCACATGGTTTCTTTCTTCGTTCCTTTTGTCTGCACACTTGTGTTTGGC